AGGGGACTGAATTCAGCAAGGTATAAGAGTCGAGAATGGTACAACGAATCGTCTTCTTTCTCTCATAATTTAATGAAACGTCAAAGCTTCCGCGCTTCGCGCGGGAAGGGGGGGGGGGGTGGGGAGGAACTGAATTCAGACAAGGATTAAGAGTCGAGAATGGTACAACGAATCGTCTTCTTTCTTTAATAATTTAATGAAACGTCAGAAACTCCCCCTCCCTCCACCCACCCCCTAGTAGGTGCTCACTACCGGCCCCTAAAATAAAATCCTGCCTATATGCTTGAGAGGATAATAACCCAGGTAGCAAGCATGTGGGACACACATGGGTCCTATATTCTCTAGAATGTTATCTTTATTGAGGGTGACTTGAAAAAGTTAAAAACTTGGAAGGGAGGGGGTGCAACCTGCCACACGCCTCTACCTCTTGGTTGCTTTGATCCATTGCCGAAAATATTTTGGCACCTATCATCCCCCCCCCCCAACCGAGGATACAAATCGACACCCTTGGTCGAGCAAGAATATCGACACAGCGGACCCGACACAGCAACATAATTATCTAGGCGTATCTTTCTTGCTCCCTCGACGTGGCGACTCCACCCAACATCCCCTCCCTCTCTTATTCCCACCCCTCTCCTCTCCGGGCTCTTACCCCCCGCCCCCTCTCTCTCTCCCCTCTTTCATCGCCAGTTTCTTTTGTTTCCGTTCTCTTTTTTTTCCTTTTTCCTTTTCTTTCTTTTCTTTCTTTTCCTTTCTTTCCTCTCCTCCCTCTTTTTCTTTTTCTATTTCTTTCTTTCTTCTCTTTCCTTTCTTTCTTCTTTTCCTTTTCTTTTTTCTTTTCTTTCCCTTTCCCCCTCCCCCGGCTTTTCTCATTTTTCCCGACAGCAGCGCAATTTTACCGACAATATCCTGATAGGTGGGGGGGGGGTCGCACCCCCACACACCCCACCTTTAGCGACGCCCCTGGGCCTACTGTATATAAGTGCCTCCAGAAATGTGTGCTCCAGAGTATAGTACTGTTATGTCTGAATATTAGACTAATTCAATGAAGCCCTATCCTTCCCATCATGCACCTTCTAATTGCATTAAAAACCCAACATGGCTGAAAAACGCAAACAGGAAGAGGCCATCGATGATCTGTTTTCCAAACGACAGTGTGTCGAAAATTCCGATTCTCTGAAAGATTTGAATGGTGAGGATTCTAATGTACATTTTCATGTATTTACTATTCATATTTTTCTTACGAAAGTGGAAGAATAATGGCGGTATTGAAGTCCTGTTGTGTATGTTGAGCCCGCGCCCTGTGTGTGGGCAATCGCTTCCGTTCGTACGGTATGTGCCTACGTCTGTGTATGGTGTGTGTGTCTGTGAGCTACCATACCGAGGCCGTGTTGGGAGACCGTTCGATTGTACCGTGGCGGAGAGTAGTACACTAGCCTAAGCTGAGCGGAGCTGCGCTACAGCTGACGTCGGTCCGATCTCAACTGCTGTGCTGTGGTGGGGGCGCGGGGGCTTGGGCCTCAGTCCGATTGATGGGGGTTCCAGAATATTTAGACCGTCCATTGAATTGACAATGGTGCATCTAGCCTCCAGTTTTGCTTTTCCCCCTTTTCTTAGAAGTAGATCTAGATCTAGATCTACCCTAACTTGTTAAGTTTTATAATATTTTTTTGATTAATATTATAAATTAGATCTAGGGTAGCGCGCCCAGTATTCGGTCAATTCCCAGTATTCGGTCAGACAGCCGTTTCAACAGCTGTAACAATTTAAAAAAATAATTTAAGAGCCACGAAACTTGCACAGATCAGGCAGCTGAACAACTTTTCTTAACTCTCAAAAATTAAATCAGATTTAGGGCCCCGGAAAGATCTCCAACTTAGCTCAAAATTGGTCAGTGTCGCAAGACTTTCTGCACTTCTGCGTTCTCTTAGCACATGCGCTAACATGCATAGCCATATGTAGAAGTCTATTGCGAAACAACTGCGTGTGCTGTCGCAATGAATTTAGTATGTGTGTGAAGAGAATCACTTCCGTGTTCACTCCATCGCAGTGAATTTGCAAATGACGCATTTGCCGATGTGCGAGAGGTATTTATACGATACCCTTGCCATGCGGTATCACTCGGCCAGTATTCGGTCAACGCATTGACATTCAGTGCTTTATCGCGCAATTGTGTGAAAATAGTGCGCAAATACGCTTCGCTCTTTGGCAACAGAGATACCACGCACAAATCGCGTGACCGAATTCTAATCGGCGCGACCGAATTCTGGGCAGAAAAATGCTCCGTCTGCTTTCGGAAGTATTTTGCTTATCATTATTCTATATTTTAAGTGACTATAAAATCCTGTTAGAGGAATAAATTTCTTTTCTTTTGATGGGTATATTGCCAAATAAAAGAGGTAAGAATTTCAAAATATTAGTGATTTCCCCTTAAGTGACCGAATACTGGGCACTCTACCCTACACTGGACTGGCAATTTCATTCAAGAGTCGAGACTGAACATTTTTCCAATAAATATTAAATGGACATTTTTTGGAAATTTTGAAAATTGGTTGGATATTGAACCTAGATCTAGTAATTCTTTAACATTTTGATATATTTGGATGGCCCTGTGGATGAATTAAGCACTAGAAAATTTAGCCCCTAAAATAAAAGTAAAACATTTCTGCTTTCGAGAAATTGAATAAATAAAAAATGATCGGTGCTCTCAAATGTTTCAAATAGCTCCTAAGGTCATTCCATTGGAAATCTCAGAATATGCATTTTTGATACATAATTTCCGAACGGGAATAGCATTAGCAAATCGGTCGATTATAGTCAAGAAAAATTGTTTTGATAAAGTAATATCAGTTCTGAGAGAGAACAATTTAACAACAATTTACTCAAATAGCTTCTTCCCATGGACTGTTAAATATTGGAACGACCTGCCTCATGACATCCTGGACGTCCCAAACATAGACATTTTTAAGAAAAGGCTCTGCGATTTTTTCACAAACACCAATCAGAAATAATTCCACCAGGTCAACCCCAAGGTCAGCCCTCTGACGCGATGCGGGATCCCGCTTTGTCGGAGTAAAATCCAGAACCAGAACCAGAGAGCTATACAATATAAAGAGTTTATATTTAAAATTTCATCACTGTGGACTTGATTTAAAACTGCGACAACGATCATTGAATATTGTAAAATCGCATATCTTCCAATATATTCATTTGAACCAAATTCTTCACCCCATACCAAAACTCTGTATTAGGCCCTTAGTCTATCAGAATATTTGGTACCACATAGACACATGTTTCGTCACAGTGTCGGATAGTCTCATGTGCAGATCGCTAGCGCTTGTTAAATAATATACCCCCTTTAAAGTGCACTTTTACCCTGAGTTTGAAAGTGAACTACTCTCTTAGAGCAGAGGAAAGCAGAAAAATCAGAGAAGTAGACTGGTGAAAGTTTAAATGAAAACGTTCCAAAAAAGTGTTGAATATTTTAAAGATGTTGTCATTACCTTATACGTATGGGCTCTTCAAATTGTATGAATCAGTAATAACTCTGACTCAGTATAGCTATGCCACAAACCAGTTCAAAAAAGGGAAATTCAAAAATTATCATTATTGTCTTGTCTTGAGAGTTACATGTACATGTATGGAGTTGGATTTTGTCTGAAGTGTCCACAATCCACAGTAATTACTCTTTGTATTGTTTTGTAAATGCATCCTTGTTGGTTTGGCGGTATGTGTCTTTGCTCTGCCAGTTTAAGCCAAATCTGTGTGTGTGTGTGTGTGTTTGAAACATGGATTAAAAATAATCAGAAATTTAAATTGATTTGATTCTTCCAGGAGAGGAGGGGCATGTTGAGCAAGAAGTCTCTGATGGGCCCGCACCAAGCTGGGGTTCCCAGGCCTCTTCAAGTGACTCCTCTAGCTCAAGCAGCAGCGGACATCAGCCTGGTGGAGATTCTTCTAGTGAGGGCAGTATAACAGACAGCTTTGACATGGGACTGGGCGATATCCGGCCTGACAGTCTTGCAGGTATTGTTAAACAAAATCAGCCCTGTTCGTTTCTCTCTGTCTTTTTCTGTTGGTACTTCTTTCCATCTATCTCTTTTATTTTTAGGCCTGCCTCTCACGAGCTGATTCTTGTTCCTTCTACATGTACTGAGTCTATCCTGCCATCGCTCTGTCTCTCTCTTTCTTCCCAATCTTATCTCTCTGGCATTCAGTATCTTTCTCTTTCTATCCCTCTTCTCTTTCAGAATTCATTTGTATACTATTATAATATTGAACATAAATAGAGACAACACCTGAAATTCTGGACAAGAAAAAGGTATATTTTCTTTAATTCACAAGCTGAAACATGTGATGGCAGCATGACGGTGAAGTTGGAACAGGAAGATAACAATCCATGAGTTAAGAGATCTAGGCATCGTTTCACAAAACTGTCATAAGTAAAAGTTTACTGACATCTCATTGATATGTTTGGTATATTTAGCACATGCATTGTCAATGGATTATCAGGGAACTAGAGGGATTCGTGTAACACCGCACATATATCTAGCTGTACTTGTCGTTGAAAATTGTTATTAAAGCATATCTGCTCTAGTTTGGCCAGGAGGGATTAGACATCCCTACATGGTTACTGACAGGTGGTTATCTCATCAAATCAGCTCTTAATTAACATTAGAAAAAGGGGTCCGTGGGGGACCAACGGTCACTGATAAGCCATTGTTTGCTATAGAGGGCACAAGTAGCTATAAGTAGTGCAGTGGGGCTTTAATGTCCTATGTCAAAAGTCAGTCTTATGTTTAAAAAGGGGTTCTCTGTTGCATTCATTCCTATCTGTTTGTGACACTCTCCCCAACCAACCAGGTTGGGTTGGTTGCAGAAGCAGATGATGTTTGGAAATTGTTATTAAAGTCCAATGTTAAAAGTCAGTCTTATGTTTAAAAAGGGGTTCTCCGTTACAATCATTCCTATCTTGTTTGTGATACTCTCCCCCAACCAGGTCCCATGGGTTGGTTGCAGAAGCAGATGATGTCCGGTACCAACCCAAAGTCCATTTTGATGCGCATCATCCCATCGGGAATGACCATTCGGAGGAGATGGATGAGTTTGAGATGTGGTCCATCATCGCAGAGTATCTGCGATCTATCGATGAGCCGCCTCCAAGGCAGAAACTGGAGCAGTACAACACCTTCGACGATGCGATCCAACTACTGAAAACCTGCAAAAACATTCTGGTCTTGACTGGAGCAGGAGTGAGTTTTCTTATTTGTCTTTTACAGAATCGTAACGAGATCAAACTCATTACCTGCATATAGCTATTTTATCATGTATTGTAAAAGCTGATAGTTATATGCATCTACAAATTTCAGTGGAAAATTGTGACACAGATATATATGTGAGTGCTTTTGTGACAATTTACAGAGGCTGTTTACAATGCATATTCATCTTGCATTATCAGCTGATTCTTATTGGCGGGTCATTCCATGTCAAATCACCCAATGGTTTTAACCCGACCATTTTTGATTTTGATGAAACTTAGTGTACTTGTTGAGTGTGATCTCACAGCACCAAATCCCAAATTTTAGGTCAATCGGGTGAGGGGTTTGGGAGATACTGCCCACCAAATTTTGAGATTTTTTCAAAAATGGGGGTGGCGGGCCTACCTTTGAACCCTTGTATCTCGGGACCTAATGGGTCAATCTTCACAAAATTTGTATATGTTGGAAAGGGTATTCAATAAGGATTCCAAATCTGCCGCCATTTTGAAAATTCGTACATGTTGGGGTACTTTGACCTCTTGACCTAAGATTTGACCTTGAAATTGACCTTGTGGATCACGTGACCTTGACAACATTTTTCATGAAATGTAATCTCTGACATGTTCACTAAAACATATAAAAGTTCCAGAGATATAATATTTTTTGGTTTAGGAGCAATAAGGATTGAAAGTATCCATACAGATATTCACAATAAACCCTATTATAATGTATACAATACATGCAATATGCACAGTACAACATACAATATCTTCCACATGCTTTTTTGTTCTAGTCATATCCATTCTAAATGTCAGCAGTACTTAAATAGAAATAAAATGACAAGTTCATATAGGCCTAAAGGGTTAACAGGATGTATGGCTTTAGGCCTCTGAGTCAGTTCTAGGATAATTACCCCCCTGGAAATGTTCCCCCCCCCCGAGGACAATTACCCCCCAGAAAATTACCTCTTAGGACAATCTGTCTCCCCCCCTCCGAGGACAATTACCCCCGGACAATTACACCCTCGGACAATTACCCCCCGGACAATTACCCCCTAGGACAACTACCCCCCCTCTATTAGTTGAAGGGGAAGTTTATCCTGATAATAAGTTGGTTTTAATCAAAGCAGATTTTTTTGGGGGGAGGTAATTATCCTTGAGTAATTTTCCAGGGGGGGGGGGGATGGGGTAATTCTCCGGGGGTTAATTGTCCTGGGGGGGGGGGACAAATTGTCCTAGGAAGTTATTTTCTGGGGGGTAATTGTCCTCGGGGGGGGGGGACATTTCCTGGGGGTTAATTTTCCAGGGGGTAATTATCCTAGAACAGACTCAGAGGCCTAAAGCCATACATCCTGTTAACCCTTTAGGCCTATATGAACTTGTCATTTTATTTCTATTTAAGTACTGCTGACATTTAGAATGGATATGACTAGAACAAAAAAGCATGTGGAAGATGTATGTTGTACTGTGCATATTGCATGTATTGTATACATTATAATAGGGTTTATTGTGAATATCTGTAAGTATGGATACTTTCAATCCTTATTGCTCCTAAACCAAAAATATTATATCTCTGGAACTTTTATATGTTTTAGTGAACATGTCAGAGATTACATTTCATGAAAAATATTGTCAAGGTCACGTGATCCACAAGGTCAATTTCAAGGTCAAATCTTAGGTCAAGAGGTCAAAGTACCCCAACATGTACGAATTTTCAAAATGGCGGCAGATTTGGAATCCTTATTGAATACCCTTTCCAACAATACAAATTTTGTAAAGATTGACCCATTAGGTCCCGAGATACAAGGGTTCAAAGGTAGACCCGCCTCCCCCATTTTTGAAAAAATCTCAAAATTTGGTGGGCAGTATCTCCCAAGCCCCTCACCCAATTGACCTAAAATTTGGGATTTGGTGCTGTGAGATCACACTCAACAAGTACACTAAGTTTCATCAAAATCAAAAATGGTCGGGTTAAGATTTTCAGATTTTTTGGGTGATTTGACATGGAATGACCCTGGCTACTTAGTTCATGACTTTAACCAATTACAGTCAAACCTGTCTATAGCCGTCTATGGCCGTTGTAGACAGGTTGGCGTATGCAGCCATTTTGATTTTGAATAATGGATTGACAGCGCGAGGCCCACTCGCAAGGCTCTAGCAGACCCGCCAGTGCGCGAACAATTCTCTGTGGCTTTATTAGGGCTCTTAATGGAAAACAAGACTCTCATTTTGTACAGTATATGTGACTACTTTTTTCGTTATTTATGAGTTCAGGTATCTGTGTCCTGTGGAATCCCAGACTTTCGCTCCAGAGACGGAGTGTATGCCCGCCTGGCGGTAGACTTTCCAGACCTGCCAGACCCGCAAGCCATGTTTGAGATCAGCTACTTCCGCAAAGACCCAAGACCGTTCTACAAGTTTGCAAAGGTATGGGGCAATGATTACTTCACAGTATAATTTAAGTCTTGTTGATGTATGGCTCTCAGGTTACCAGGAAAATCAGGGAACCCCTGGACACTAAGTCAGGGAGTTTCAGTGGTCCAAAACGAGTACCGGTTGTCAGTATAATGATAATAGCATTGTTTATATAGTGCTTCATACATTGATGTTATCTCTAAGCATTTTACAGATATGTTACTACCCTGGTCATTGAATTCAGGCTTGCCTGCACACAATGTATGCACATTCTCCGCTCCTTGGGGAGCATTCCAGCGAGGTGCCAACTTCAATGTCTTTCGCATCCTACCCATTTAAAACCTTGGTGGAGAGTGGCGAAGGGCTTAATGTCTTGCCAAAAAATGTTAGTGCCGGGCTGGGATTTGAACCCTCAACTCTTAGATTTAGAGTCAAGTGAATGAACCACTATACCACAACACCTCCACCTCCAGTACCTTATATTTTGTCCTGTGTACAAACGGCATATCCCTTGGATGATTGGCTAAGGAGGCTTTTAAGTTTGTGCAATGCCTCCTTTAAGATCCTGGACATTTGAATCGCTATCTGGGAAAACTCAAGGAAACATCAGGGAATTTTGTTTTTAATGGAATGCTGGGAACCCTTATGCAGTAGAATCTATTACTTTCGCAAATGTCACTCACTATCCAGATTTGGGAAAGTTAATGCCGCGAAAGGCATCCGTAAGGTAAATTTGCCAGTTTGGAAAAATTCTTGGAAGTGCAATGGCTAAAGGGTATAATTTGCGAAGTTTGGGTCACAAAAGTTTACAGTACAAAGACTGCTCAAGAATATGTTGTCTTTAAATGTAGACAAGGGATCTCTTGTTTTGATAATGTGATAATCCATTCATTGTGTAATACTAGAATATAAGATAATTTCTTGTCTATCTTTAATTTGATGGTTCGTCTATGATTATAAACACAACGATATAGTTTCTCATATATATTATGTATTTGTGCAATGTCTGACCAAAACAAATTTCCATGTATTCTTGAGATTTTGGATGAATAAAAAGAATTGAATTGAATTGAATTGCAGGAGCTGTTCCCAGGCCAGTTCAAGCCCTCCACCAGTCACAAGTTCATCTCCCAGCTGGAGGAGCATCAGAAGCTGCTGAGGAACTACACTCAGAATATTGATACCCTAGAGCAAGCCGCAGGGATCAAAGGAGTTATACAGTGCCATGGTAAGTCCAGCGCCGTTATCCTTAAAGCCCCACTGCAATACTTATAGCTACTTGCGCCCTCTGTATAGCAAACAATGCCTAAACGGTGACCAATCGTCCCCCATGATCCCCTTTAAAAAAATATTAATTGAGAGCTGATTTGATGAGGTAACCACCTGTCAGTGACCATGCAGGGAGGTCTAATCCGCCAAACTAGTGTAGTAGAGCTTTAAAGGCATCGTTTAACAATGTTAATTCTGAGATCCATGGCCCTACGTGTTATCGGTGTCTGTGATATGGTGTAATATTGAACCCCTACAAAAATTGCGCTTCAAAATGAACATAAAGTGCCCACCCAAAAATTAAAAATCTTTCAGTGACCGGTTTTACCATACAGTACTCATTTTCCCCAATAGACTGTAGTGTTATGAAAACTGTTAGGAAAACGGAAAAATAAAATTTCGATTTCCAATCATAAATATCTTGATAATCAAACAAGCCATCAGCTTGTATAAGTCATGAGATTCCTGATTGACCTGAAGGTTTATAATTATGATTGCAGCATGAGCTAAATCCAGGATTTTGTTTCACAATCTGAGGCAATGTTACTGAGTCACTTTAAAGGGGAATGGATCCTTGAAGGTATAAAGTTCAAACTTGGTGATAATATGCAACAGCATAGTGAGATGCACTTATTCAATCTTGGGGTCAGTAGGTCAATGGTCGTAAAGGTAAATTCCATGAAATTCTGGGTTATTAACCTCGTTTTCACAATATCTGAAGTAACACCAAATATAGATTAATGTCTTGCCAAAGGACATTAGTAACGCAGCAGATCTTGACTCGCCAACCATGTGATCCACAGTCTGCTGATGTACCTGCTACACCACGACACCTCTAGTGGAGGTAGTGGATAAGTAGCCCGACTGGAGATGCGAAGGTACGGGGTGCTAGTCCCGCCGCAGCACTAATGTCCTTTGGCAAGACGTTTATCTACATTTGCCACTCTCCACCCAGGTGTTAAATGGGTACCCGGTAGGATGCGAAAGTTAGTGTGGTTGGATTAAAGCAAGTGTGCGCTTGTTAAAATGGCGACTGGCCTGAATGCTCCCCAGGGAGTGGAGAAGGTGCATACGTTGTGTGTGGGTAAGCCTGAATCCGATGGCCGAAGTAATAATATATCTGTAAAGCGCTTCGACACACCATTGTATCGATGTATTAGGCGCTATATAAAAGCGGAATATTATTATTATTACTTGAGAATCACATTATTATTATTTTTTGTTGTATAGGTTCCTTTGCCACTGCAACATGCACTCGATGTGGACTAAGTGTGGACTCGGATGCGATCAGAGACGATGTATTCAACCAGGTAAGACATGGAACTCCTTAAATTACCATACTACCACTTTATTTTGAAGGTTAAAGATAAAGTCGAGTTCTGGTCATGCGATTGCATTGTGAAAGAAAAGGTGTGGAATGGATCAGAAAAAGTTGATCATGTAAGCATGTAAGTATTGGTGTGTACTGCAAGGTTCTGGAGTCATCAAAATCATATTAAATTTGGCCCAGTCTTGGTAAAGTAACATGCATTATACACAGAAAGATGTATATGGGACTACACAAATGGTGTCGGGGGTTACCTACCTTGATTTCCTTATCTTTCTTTGCTCATTACTCAGCCAGCATACATTTTCTACCCAAATTGTTTGGCAAATGACATTTATTTGTAATCTTGAACATTCAGTATAAGTTTCATTTGATTCTGTGATAAATCATTTTCTTTTTTTTTTACCAGAACTCACGTTTATCATTAAGATAATACTCACGCTTACGGGTAACGGGTTGTGCCTGTATTTAGCCATGTGAATATTCAGTTCAGTAGTAACTGTGTTTAGAAATGTCCTAAGATGTTATACAAACCGAAGATCAAGAGTACATGGTGTTGTGATTTTTCCAGTGGGAGAAAATCCTGATAGGTTGCATGACTGGCTACTGACTGGTTGCTGGTTGTGACAGACTGAACTGAGTCAGATATACATGTAGTTTGATTTGACCATAAGGATCACTGTAACAATTCTTATTTCCACTTCACTTTAGGGCCCCATTTCACAAAACTTGTCATCAGTGACAAATGACATTGATTGTTATAAGCTACTGAAATCCTTGCTTCTGATTAGTTATCAGCAGATTTGTCACTGATATTTGTCATTTGTTATTGCAAAAAGGCTTTGTGAAACACCCTCCAGGTTGAACCAGTCTGCCCTCAGTGCAGTTCTATACACCAGAGTAGGCCATCCTTTTTTTTTTTTTTTTCTTTATGTGAGAGTAGGCCATCCTGAAAGCAAACATAGTTTTCTTTAGTGGCGATGGTCACTCTAACCATTCCAATTTCCTTTTCACTTCAGGTGGTTACAATTTTGCCCACGGAGCAGCCGTGATACACCAGAGATGGCCGTCCTTAAACCAGATATAGTCCTATGTATTGAGACTAACTTTTAACACTCCTATTCCCCTGTCATCCTAGATTGTTCCTGTCTGCCCCCAGTGTGGCCCCGATACACCAGAGATGGCCGTCCTTAAACCAGATTTAGTCCTTTTTATTGAGACTAACTTTTACCACTCCTATTCCCCTGTCATCCTAGATGATTCCTATCTGCCCGCAGTGTGGCCCTGATACACCAGACATGGCCGTCCTGAAGCCAGATATCGTCTTCTTTGGTGAGGGCCTTCCAAACCACTTCTATGACAAGCTAAACGACGACAAAGAGACAGCTGATCTACTCATCGTTATGGGGTCCTCTCTTAAAGTCAGGCCTGTAGCTACTATCCCAAGTGAGTTTATGATACTTTGCAGATAGATTTGATACAATTTAAGTGATATTTTGCCATCAAATTTTTGGCTCCCAACACCTTAGAGGGGCTTTAAGCCGAGTTCTGAGAGTACAGTCAGTAGCATGATACATACATATAATTTAGTTCTTTCTTCGGGTATTAAAGATTTGAATGAAATTACGGATGATTGTCACCATTCTGTTGAGAGAAAAAAAGATGAAGATCTTTAGCAATCTCAAATTTATGACTTTATTCTAGCAAGAATAAACATAGACACAATTGGATGTCCACTTCCAAATGAAATCCACTTTCTGAAAGTTAGTCCTAACCTGTAAAAGGCATTGAACAAAAATGAGCTTTTCATCTGATATTGAAAATTACGATGATGTAGAACCGAAACTGTTCGCGTGCATGAAATGTTAAAAAATTTGGTTGAGTAGTCCAGGTTCACAAAGAGTGTCATGCCATGGAAAACTTGAATCACAAATGATTTATCCAAAAAATGTTATAATCGCTAAAGTTTCTTGCGATGAAAATTGCTGTTGTTTAATAGCAAACAAGTTGTGTAGCACTTGTTTCTTGTTTTACAGTACTTTTATTGAATTTCTTTTTGTACTTTACTGAATTTCCTTTTATCATGTAATATTTGTAGACTTGTAGTCATCTTTGTTTCTTGCACCCGATTATTCTTGCAGGTCTGCTTCCAAAAAAAGTGCCTCAGATTCTGATTAACAGAGAACCCCTTCCCCACTTGAACTTTGACATTGAGTTGCTAGGCGACTGTGATGTCATCATCAATGAGATCCTCCACCGGCTAGGGGATGGCTGGGACCATGTGTGCCAGTCGCAGCAGAGATTGACAGAGACCACCCACATTCCCAACGGATTCAAGCCTAAAGAGTCTCGGCAAGCCCGGAAGGCAGTGCTGGAGGAGGGAGGAACAACCGTGGATCAGAGACCTGATCCAGTGCTGGATGAGGGAGAAACAACCGTGGATCAGAGACCTGATCCAGTGCTGGATGAGGGAGAAACAACAGTGGATCAGAGATCCAATCCAGTGCTGGATGAGGGAGAAACAACGGTGGATCAGAAACCTGATCCAGTGCTGGATGAGGGAGAAACAACGGTGGATCAGAAACCTGATCCAGTGCTGGATGAGGGAGAAACAACCGTGGATCAGAAACCTGATCCAGTGCTGGATGAGGGAGAAACAACTGTGGATCAGAAACCTGATCCTGCAGGTAGGATAGATCAGGAGGAATCCGTGTCAAATCCAGTAAATGTCAAATCGAAAGAGGATACACAGCACTCTTTGAGTTCTTTGAAGGAGGAAGGTCAAGTGTCTAGTGGTGATGATAAGAATGAGGGATCTAAAGCTGGAGAAGGCGATGACAGATTAGCTCGTTCGAACAGCCAAGATTCTCCAATCTCGCCAGAAGGACATGTAAAACAGAGTTGTGACGAAAGACTCCAGGCTCCCGAGAATCAAACTTCATTAGAACATCATATAAATGGCTTAACAAACGAAGGCAAGATTCATGTAGATGCTTTGCCTTGTTCCCGAAGTGAGACAAACTGTTCCCCATCGTCAAATAGTGACAGGTTGCAGAGTGTTGATGAAGTTGAAAATGCCTTAGCGTCGAGTGAACCCCAAACTTCCAAAACGATTCCCTCTGAATCGTCGCAATCCCATACAGCACAGGATCAGACTGCTCAAAGAAACAGTGCTGCTGAACAGTACATGCTCTTTCAAAGAACGTTGGACTCGATAGGGAACTCGTCCACGGGTGCTAGCTCCTTGGATGTCATGGCGGGCAACGACTCAGTAGCTTCCGGTGAATCCGAAAGCACTCAAACCCATGTTGCAAGTGACTGTAAAGAACCAAGTACTGATGTGAAAGCGGAAGCTGAAGATCTGGGATTGTGTGTGAACGAAACAGACAGAACAAATTCACAAGATGATTTAAATTCTGAAGTTGGTAATGTTAGCTCGTCAAGTGGAAGTGTTTTAGAACATAGGGAGCAAGCTAGTCCTGCCCCGGACTCTGAAGCCAAGCCAAGTCCATCCACGTCTGCGGCAGCCAAAACACCTCGGGCAACCATTTCAACTCAACTGAAAGGTAAAGACCAACATCCTTGCAGAATAAGAATGAATTGTAAATGTGTGACATTTATTACCTATATGCCAGTTTAAATTCACAACATTCTAATTTCTTGTAATGAGAAATACTTCTTCTCTTTGATTTTTGGTTTTTACTTTGCTCTCCATTTAATTTATTTAAAAAAAGACTAACAAGGAAGTACTCCCTGTTGAATCATATCAAAGAACATTCCACAGAAACTTGACAGTCGACTCTAATTGGAAAGAGAAACAAATTCTGTCCACCTTCCTTGCTTTTTACTTCCATACATTTTCTTTATTCAAATGAAATATATGTCTTTGTTGAAGTTGTTTAAATCTTTTTTATTTTTCACAGAATCGTCCTTCCTCTTCATCCCACCAATGCGCTATGTATTCCATGGTGCCGAGGTGTTCCTTTCCGATGACGACAATGAAATTGAGCACGGTTTGGAAGGTCTCAACAAAGACATGGACATTAATGATCTTCACAATGAACTTGAGAATGGCGACCTTCACAATGACCTTGGGAGTGGTGACCTTCACAATGAACTTGAGAATGGTGACCTTCACAATCACCTTCACAATGGTGATGACTTGCCTGATCTGTCAGAAGAGGATCACTCGCCGGCTAAAGAGAAAACTGTTTCGTTAGACGACTTAACTCCGACTGTGCCCTCGACTGACCGGGAGACTAGCCAGTATGGTCAATCAGCGTCCAAAGCGCAGTGTGTTCCGGAAACGAATGGAAGAGATGGGTCGCCTTTTGAAGCGCCGTCTGGTGAAACTGTATACACACATATAGATCTACCTGTGACACCTTAACTAAGCCACGATGCCTTTTGTATTTAAAGATTCCATCATACTGCAACCGAACATAACAAATGTAACAGTTTGTGTCTTTTTTTTCTCTCCCATTCTTTGCATGATTCTTGTAGGTGTACAAATTTAGAGTGGGTTTAGTGTATGGTATCAAAGTTAGAGTGGGTTTAGTGTATGGTATCCAATATCTGTTCAGTCTTCTTTTTCATTTTGACCCAAACACTTTTAATATAAAGTTAAATACTTGTAATGCAATTACATGGTGAACGGAACTCTCCTGAAGTAATTGGAAAAGGCTGATGATGTAGTGCAATAAGTGCATAGAAATAAGTGTATGCTGTCGGGTCTTGGAGTCGTCTCGCTGAACATAACAACCACTGCACACAGAAATGGACATATGGGACTGCACATACATTTGGAGTGAAAATTGGGTTCTAACTTTTCAGCCATTTCTCAAGACATATTTCAAGTGTGAGAGTGTATGCAGTGCAATCCTATGAAGAGGATACACTGTATTTGCATTCCTGTCAAGTCATTTAGCCGCTTCCCAAACATAGCTCGTTTTTTAAGACAATACCTGCCTTCTTACAAATTCTCAAATGATTTTTTATTTTAAAAGAAATAAAGACCACAAATTCAGCCAGTAGAAGCAAAGCTGGATTCTGAACTCCTCAAAAAAAAGTTCTGCAATTCAAGTTTGAGCGTTGATATCTCTCTTGTTACAATATGGTCATATTTGACGCTGGTATCATTGGAAAGCCTTTGTATTCCCCTTTACAATAATGCCCCATTTGTAACGATCATGTAATCACAGACTGTGCAGTACACCTGGAAGTTGGGCCGAGTCAAAATGCATTGTTATTGTCCATAGCGAATTTGTTTGGACAGGAGGATAGATTGAGTTTTGAAGGAATAACGATGCATTTTGCAATATTTCACTGTTGACTTAGTACTGCACATTCAATGATTACATAATCGTTACGGTTGGGGCAGCATTGTTAAAGGTACTATGTCCCTTTTGCAGCCAACCTCTAATTCTGTAGAACTTTGCAGGAATTATGAATATGTCATGTATGTCCTATCTGTGAAATTTAAACGTTAGCAGTGTCCTCATATTCAAATTATGCAAGGAAACCCGTTTACTTGCTAGACTTCACTGTCAGACACTATTGAGTGACTGTATGACTGGCTTTTTTTCTTCTTTGGTAATAACATACATGAAAAGAGTTGTAAAGGGTACATGAGCATTTTTCTACATCAATAACCCACTTCTTGTGATCGCCAAGATTAAACTGATTGAATCTTTGCGCAACATAAAACGTATGAACATTCGGTACAATTGTGTGAAAATCAAGACTATTACTTTTGGGCTCTATAGCCCTAAAGTCAATTTGACAACTCATAGTCATTATTTTCCCACTTGAAGACATTTTCAAGCCCCACCTTTTTTAGGGAAGTTCTAAATAAGTATTATCTTTCAAATGCAGTTGGAATTTAACTTTTTCATTTTTTTCGGCCTGCAAATGGGACATAGCACCTTTAAGGGGAAGAAACACTTAAAGAGAAGGAAGAGATCATGGGAGAGGTGAAAAATGATTTGTTATCACTTCCCTGAAAAGCATGGCTCTTCAAATGCTTTCATTTTCTAAATATGACAAGTAACAGCTTCAAAATGAGGCCCGATTTTTACGCCACATTCTTGTGTAGTCCCGTTTTTTCACAATGCAATCACATGACCCGTTTCACAAAAAAATCAGTGACAAACCTGCTGATAGCCAATCAGAAGCAATGATTTCACTAGCTTATAACAAAACTTTCATTTGTCACTGATGACAAGTTTTGTGAACCCCCCCCCCCCCCAACTCAACTTTAAACAGGCTTTTCAATGATATCACTATCAGGTATGACCATATACCAACAAGGGAGATATCGACGCTATAACTTGAATTGCAGAATTTTCTTTAAGGGGTTTACTTCAAGTACCTGATTTAACATCCGAAACAAAAACTGGAGAGAGTTATAAGTTATAAGCCACTGATGTAGTAGTACTGTATTCAGCAAAATATGCGTATTCAAAATTAATGTTCAATCCTAATTCAAATGTAGAAGCTACGATCATATAGAGCTTTGGTTTTAATTTGTTTTCTTTGATTTTGTCATTCTTGACATAACTAGATTTATGTGTTTGTTCTTTCTCATATTCTCAATGGTAAACATCATCTACTGTATGCTTTTAAAAATATGCAGTGAACAGCCGTGGTTTACTGCGGTATATGCCATTACAAGCCTTGACAGTTCTTGGCCTATATTTATAAAACATTACTAAGCCATCTGTCAACTAATTATTACATAAGCTTTAGTACATATTTTACAACAGGCTTACTAAGGTTATATATATATATGGACCGGGAAGTTCACTAGGCCTCCTGGGGGGTGTTTCACAAAGATCTTAAGTTGAACTTATCTCTAAGTTGGACTTAACAATTATGGAAAGCCGTTAGCATCCTTGAAAATATTTTGTAAAAGTGATTTTAAAAGGCATAAAATGTTGATTCAAATCATTCATATTTTGTATTATCATGGGAGATTTCATGTTCTTGATGTAGAATTTATGAAAAGTCTAAAATACTTTAATTTTTGCTTTTGAATAAAGTTCATTATAAGGCTACAAATGGCTCTCCATAATAGTTAAGTCCAACTTAGAGTTAGGTTCGACTTAAAATCTTTGTGAAACACCCCCCTGGTCTAGGTCAGTCAAGAAATAAAATGTAGTTAAAGCCCCAATGCACTACTTATAGCTACTTGCGCGCTCTATATAGCAAACAATGCCTAATCGGTGACAATTGGTCCCCTTGTTATGTTAATTGAGAGCTGATTTGATGAGATAACCACCTGTCAGTGACTATGCAGAGGGGCTTTAAGTTCCATTAATTGTTATAAGCTTGTGAAATTGTTCCATTTGATTTGCCATTTGCAAACATTTACAAATATGCCACTCTTACAATTGATGATAAATATTAAATGGCCCAGTTGTCGGAAGATTCAGGAGACAGAAAATATGTTTGTGAGGTGTGGAGAATTGTTTGGGTAGCGATGTATGTCTTCAATGAGGAAGCATCTTTCCCACTGGTGTTCTTAAACAGGGTCTTAGTTATTTTGGTAGTGGATGGATACAGTAAGAAATGGCAGTGTGCAATGGCATGTTGCTATAGAATGAAGCATGTGTTATACCAAGGTGTGTTTATGGAGCGAATATGATTATTTATCACCATACATGTTGAGTGGAGTCTGTCGAAACATGTGTCACGGGATAGGAAGCTGCAAGTTTTCCTGTACAAAGTGGAAAGCTTGAAGGGTAATCCAATCTTAATAGCAAACAACTCTAAAAGAAAGCAGAAAAATCAGAGCGGGTGACAGTTTGATCGAAATTGGACAGAAAATATGTATGGGAACTGCAAATCGATGAACAGATAATGTCACTGATACAGTGCTGGACAACTAAATTCCCAATTGTTCCAACACACATACTGACTAAAATGTCATTTTTGTCAAAATATATGGTTCAGGTGGGTCTTTTCTTTTCTAAAATTGGAGAAAATAGAAATTAATGACATTTTTGTACACAGTAAATGGGAGAGTTCACAATCCAATGACAAACTTGCCAATTTGAGATTCACATAGCTATAGTGATCTCATATTATTTCAAACTTTCGCTATTCGTGTTCTCTTGTTTTTCAGCTCTCATGCCCTGCCCTGCCCTGGCCTGGCCTGCTCTCATATTTCAGTACCTAGACAATCATACAAAAGGTTTGCACTATTACAGTGAGCATTCATTACATGATGTAGAATAGAATTGACTCCATTCTAATTTGTCTCAAATTCAGGCAATAAACACTGATTTTCTTTCAATCATATTCACTTTGTCATACATGAAGATATAGTTACATTTTGTTTTGACTTAGGGTATATAGTTTGCTTGGTTTAATCAACTTCTAATAAACACAAACTTCCCATGACTGTCACACTGAGCAGTTTACTATCACTGCCTTTAATTTGTAAAAATGCAAATAAAATCAAAATTTGATAGAATTGATATATTACTGTTTTTTATTGACCATAAATGTTGTACATAATAGCACTACATGTAAAAAGAAAACGGTGGTATGAAAGATATAACTTACATGTGTGTAGTAGATTTATAAGCGAGTATTGTCATTTTTTAGACAGTATTAAAACGACGGGAATAAAAGAGTTTGAAATACAATTCTGTATTTATTGTGTACAGTCTAATAATCTACTGTGTCATAGTAGTCGGTCAGTCAAGTTCATATATTTGGTTTGTTCACATACAGTCGAACTAAACCTGTCTATTGAGGCCACCCAAGGGAAAGTTGACATTGTAGACAGGTGGCCACACTCATTTCTTTCTCATGGGAGACAAAATTGATGACCACAATAATAGACAGGTGGTCACTAAAGGCTAGTTCAGATATGATACGATACGGCAAAACTTGGTTCTTCTTTTTTTTCTTTCTTTTTTACAAGTGAAGAAACCATTGCGGGTTTATTGCGATGGTTTTTCCGGCCCATATCTGAACAAGCCTTTAGTGACCCCCTGCTACAATGGCCACATATAGACAGGTTTAGTTTGACTGACTACATACATACATACATATTCGTATTTATTTAGCGCCTTTACATGAACATGCTCAAGGCGCTTTACATTTTAAAATACAAACATAATAGTTATATACTCTCCAAGTGCATTACACTCTAAAAAATTGACAATTACAAAGAAAACAAATGAGTTTTTAAACTATATGTTTTGACTATATATGTGAACAAACCAAATACATGAACTTGCTAAGCATATATGAACGTGAATGATTTATCAAGATTGTCCCTCGAAAAAGACATTGACATGATATATCAATTGTAGCTCCCAACCCCATGCAAATGTAATGTAAACACAAATGAAGCATGGTACTACAATGTGACTTGTATTCCATTTTATATCATTTGCACTTTGCAGTAACCATGGAGATATGATTTACATTCAAATAATGTTGTAACAGAAATATTCATAATCAGAACAATATGATAGACATGGATTCACAAATAGCATTTATTTCATAACACATTCACTTGAATTCATTAGAATTGTAAAAATATACAACAATGTTTTGCAGCTTTTGCTCACGTCAATCTCAATAAGAAGCATAAATAATGGACCTACATGTAATTTTAAATATATTAAAAACGAAAGGGCCTAAAGTCAAACATGTCATTAAAATACTCAAGGCCTACCAAACCATGGTCTGTATTTAATATAGTGGTAAGTATGGTAAATTGACCTAAATTTGCTCTTGCAAATAAATTGCACATCCTGCCAAAAGCATCATTCATATAAATAACCTATATTACAGGTATGCAAATGATGCCTTTGGAACTACATGTACAGTGTAACATGTACCCAGGAAGCTGTAATGAATGGAGATACCGTCTCAAAAGAATTTTCCGAGGATAAAATATTCAAGATTAACCTGGCTTAACAAAAAGAAATGTAACCCTCTCCAGCCATCATTTCCATCCACAGCTGTCCATATCAATGCACAGTCCCTCTCTGGCATTCCAAATAGTACGAAATGTTACGCAACGCCATCTGCTTCCCTAAGTTCTCTATTCACTCTTTTGCAAAAATATGCAAGCATCGAGCTTTGAAGCCATGCGTGGCACCGACAAATTAAGTCATGTTTAGTGAAGATGTATTTAGCTATAACATATAAAATACAGAATTCACAACATAATGACCAATGCAACTTTCTATAAGTCATCAAATGACTTTTCCGTTCTCAGATAGCTGTACTGAAGACATGGCCATTTCAACCAGCGAAATCGACCAAGGAAATCATGAGTTAGAGCGAATGAAAGGTTTTTATCATCATGATTTTCTCATCTAATTATTGACATTTCCCGAAAATTTCCGAAATTTTTACATAGCTAGGAAGGTAGTCCAAAGGTTTATCTTTCTAATGAACTAAATGATATTGTGTTATATGTTTGCGCATTTATTGATTTAGTGCTAGAAGTTGTCAAGTTATCACCACTATTCACCCCAAGTACGGGCCGGCAAAGCAAAAGCCGCCGTGCTCGCTGGGCTGGGCTGTATGTGGAAAGGGAGGACTTAGTGCTACAAGAGAGCTGTACGGTTTCGGAGGGGGATTAAGGGGATTACGGTAGGGGGAACAAAAGACGCGCGGTGCCACGGATGACTTCAAAGGGACCTCTTGGACGGGATCTCCATTAATTACAGCTTCCTGATGTACCTTAACATTTAGTTGAGCATTGCAAAACAACCAAAAAAGAGAGAAATGTGCATGCAGTGGCAAGTGTTTATACATCTGTTTATACATTTCATTTCCATTTGTCGGTAAGGTATACATGATCTATCACACTTTTATCTCAAACATATAATATGGAATACCCTTTTCAAACCAAGCAGTTCCCTGGGAAACTTTACCCGTGAAGTCCTTGGTTTTCCTGGGGAAGCCCGGAGAATTTTATAAGGGATCTCCTCCACTTTAATACCAAGGTGGAGAACTTCCCTGGTAGAGAGAATTTCACCGGGGAAATGGCCGGCGTGATTGGACAGTGGGTAACTCCCCCCCCCCCCCCCCCCCAGTGAAATATGTAGGAGGTCAAATATCACTCCCGCCCGATCTCACAGATTACACACGCCTAACTCTCGCTCGTCCTGGGGGGCGTTTCACAAAACTTTTTTTTCAATGACAAAAATCAGTAACAAATGTGCTGATAACCAATCAGAAGCAAGGATTTCACTAGCTTATAACAAAAACTGTCATCTGTCACTGATGACAAGTTTTTAGAAACGCCCCCCTGATGATAGGTGTATAGCCACGTACATGCTTCCAAACTCCATGCCATGAATCAGACCTTACTTATAAGAACACATCAATCGTGGGATTCCTAATCAAATGGCAACTTCCTCGGGAGAACTGAGGTTGGTGTGAAAGGTACTCCAGTATTTTTTCTCTGTTTACCCAGCCAATGGAGCACATACAATTCCGAGATTTTCCCCAGGGAATTTCACGAAGAAAAAGCCAAAATTTAGTTTGAAAAGGAGTAAATATAATATTCCTGGGCATGGGTTTTTTAATCATCAAAATACAATCTTTACAAAGTCTTTGGCCTGGAACAAGAAGGGCATTTATACCAGTATTCATTTTGACAACACGTAAACAAACATGGATCCAGTACATATTATAGTCTTATTTGATGGGCCCGCATCAAAGAGTTTGGACTTTTGACAGTTGTTTATGATTGCCCTAACACAACTTCAGCAATTCCATGCATAATTTATTGCTGGAAAATTAATTCAAATTTGTCTTTTTTTCTATTATGGAATCGACCTGTACTGTTACTTATAAAACAATATACACATGTGTAGTGTATTTTAAGAATTTAGTTCCGAAACATGCAGCATCAACTTTTTAACAACATAGACTTCTTATTTTTGGCATGAATATACTTATTTTTAGTCGTTATATAAGTAGACACAAACAAAAAACATTAGTTTTCTATGAGAATATAAAAAGATCCGACATCAACAAACTGAGTTTGGTTCCAAAACATGCTACATCCATTTCAGTTCAGTTCCCGAACACGATAGAGTGGCCTGCTTTAGAAACCGACCAATCACAGAGCAGCATGACGTGCACGAATGAACGCGCACTGATATTCAGTTTCCCACACAGTAGAAGGTGGTGAGCGGCACTCAGTACACTGCACGCTTGGGGGACCCAGAGTTCTGTTACAAGACGTGCTAGCTACATCAACAGATTTTTAAAAGTAATCAATTTATTGCACTATTAAAACTGTGGAATCTAATTTTTTTTTTAAAGTTATAATGTCATCCCAATACACCATGGGAATGAGTTTCATTTCAAACTGATATTGCAAAATAGGCATATTAATTAAAAACCCTTGTTTTTCTCAGAACTTAGTTTTGTGGATGTAGCATATTTTGGAACGGAACTCTTCATGTTTTCTTCTCCATCATGTGTACATAGAGTTGTGAAGGCTCTCCGTTTCAAACTGTCTCTGCTTGGCCCGTGCCTGTACAATTGCGGGAAGAACAAGACAGATGAAAAACATAAGTGTTTGGCAAGCATAAACAAGGACATAAACATTGTTGTTACGTAAAAGTAAGAAATGTAGCCGAAGGTTAATTGAAAGTTATCAAAAATAAATGATAGAGTATCTCTCTCTCTTTGTAGTCTTAACGGTAACACAATTAGATAAAGTCAAACCTAGAATGTTTCCTAGCTCTGCTGACTATTAATGTACATGAATACTCTCTCTCTCTCTCTCTCTCACTATTTCTCCCCCTTCTTTCTCTCTCTCTCTCTCTCTCTCTCTCTCTCTCTCTCTCTCTCTCTATCCCCTACATTGCAAGGTGTACATGTATTTTCTTTCCAACTCGATTGTTTTATGCCTTCACACAAAAAGAGGGATGTGCACTTTGTGCACCCTTCAGGGGGGGGGGGACTACAGTTATTATTTACCTACACGTAAGTTCACACAGAATTTTAACACAAATTTCTTCCAATCTGTTCTAAATTTTTTAATTTGTTATCATTATATTCTAGTCAACAGATCGATAACAGACCAAACACAATATTGCACTATCTCCACGGCCAAGAAACGGTCAATTTGCCCTCGTATAAACAAGGTATTTGGACTGTGGTATCGTGACTACTTACTTTGTGTTTTTTGTATTCCTCATAATCTTCATCATCTGTGGGTAACTCATGTCTACATAGGGGACAGGAATTGGTCTTTTTTTTTAAAGGAAGAAAATAAATGATCAAAAATTGAGCACTCTTGATATTGAAGCGATTGTTACTAAACATACTAGTAATAAGGGTTCTAGAAACTCCATCATTCAACGACACTTTTTATATTAATAACCAAATCATGAAGTAAAAGAAAAAAATTGATTAAAATTGCTTATTTTTCATGAAAACTTTCTTTTTTTCTTCTTCAGATCAATGCATCCACAAGGCTTACCTCTACTAATTATTCTTTCTGAAATCAATTTAACTTATTTTGGGTTACTACTTATTAAAAAAGTATTCTCTTGCATTCCAGCTAAAGATTGTTAAAAACCTTTGAAGGACACCTTCATGGTACAATTGAATTATCCCTGGTATGTGTGTCTGAGTTGAAGCAAAACTAACAGAGAATAACAGAGGTGAAATTATGATGTAAATGAGACAAATAATGAGAAGTTTATAACAAATCCTCCTAGCCGTAAATGTGGCTATTAGGTGTGATATTGGACATGGAATACTGTCTCATTTTGATTTGTCATATACAGGGATAGCAATCCTTGTAAAATTAAAAAATAAATGAATAAATAATTTTTTTTTTTTTTTTTAAATCCAAAATATTGCTTGGTTTTTTAATACATACCTTGCCTAGCCATGGTAGGATACAAGTCTGGTGAAATTCATGGGTGCATGGTAGAGTCTTTGTAACATCTCCCCTTCGATAGGGCAGCAGGCATATAGGACACTTCTCTGGTAATAACAATAAATATATTGGATACTTTATTGTACCCCACATATCCAACATGCAAGGTGCTCCAATATTACCCCCACTCTTCTAGGCTACCAATTTTTTGGTGTTCACAGCATTCAAGGAATTTCCTTCTACCAGTACCCAATTAGATTCCATGACATTTGCTCCGGCGACAATTGCTCCGCTGTAAATTTCATACACTAATCGAATGGCTAACTTCAACCCTGGATTCAACACTATACCCTACCCTAAACCTAACCCTAAACCTAACATAAAACCCTATTGAAACCCTAACCCTAACCCTACATCTTAGACGAAATAAAGCCCGGAGCAATTGTCGCAGGAGCAAATGTCGTGTCACCCCCAATTAACACCTGGGTGGAGAGTGGTAAGTGTAGATTGATGTCTTGCCAAAGTACATTAGTGCAGTTAATAAATCAAGATATCAAACCTAAAAAGGTGCTCTCTCTCAGCTGAGGAATCACCCCCCCCCCCCCCCCCCCCCCCCCCGGGGATCTCGGCCATGGGGAGAAACTTGGCATAAAAATAGAGTATCTTAAATATCAAGAGTAAGCCCCTAATAAGGTTTCATATGTATCTCTATAGTTATTTTTTTATTATTGGCAATTGAGTAGTAGTCTCTATATTCACATGCATTAGGTACCATACATAGAGGTGTTGTGGTCGAGTGGATACGTCGCCGGACTGTCGATCACAAGGTCCGCGGTTCGAGTCCCACCGCCGCACTACTGTCTTTGGCAAGACATTGATCTACATTTGGCACACTCCACCCAGGTGAAGTAAATGGGTACCTGGTAGGAATTTATTCCTTGAAATGCTAGAGGGCTGTATGGCAGCAGTGCTAAAGCCAGGGTAATAATCGACAGCACCAGGAGGGTCAAATCTGACTGACACAAGCGCTATACAAAGATCCCACTATTATTATTATTATTACAGCTGCCTGCAGTGCGCTAATTTGGAGGCTGCAAGGTACCTGATATTTAAAATTGTATAAATTTGGTCTTAAAAGATGTAAAGGAATCTAGGCGATAACCCCATGAAAAGCCTTCATCTCACATACGTCTGGGTATATCTGGAATGCTTACCTGATCTGTCTTCTAAAACGTTGGTCTCCTTCAAATTAGCAACACATTCCTTTGAAGCAGGAGGAGCTTTTCTGATATCAGGTGGGAGTTCCAAACTAAAAGGAGAAAAATAATAATTAAAATAACACAAAGCAAATAAACGAATAACAAACATGCTAGAGAAATAAATGTTTTTCTTAAATTGCTCAAGCTGATGTAAACATGCATCTTAAAAAAAAAGGGATACTATTAACCCATAATTTTCAATCATTAATTAGCATTCTGTCTACTTGATTCATAACTCAGAGGTGTACAGTAGCCAGTTTAAATCCTTGGCCTGTGTTTATTAAGCATCTTCTTTTCAGTTATCTCTTTATATTGCAAATGGTCATAATCTCGGGAACTTAATATGAAACATATTGTCTTAAAATAATCAATGAGTACCTGGAGTTTATGTTATTTGTTTATTTTCTGAAATTAAAAACTTCTAATGATAATTTGTTCTTTACTCCAGTTGAACGGTTGAACCTATTAATATCTATTCAAAAGAAATGTACTTTTCCTCAAATTGCTCCATTGTTGGATTTGCGACCAAGATCTCTGTGGTATTGAGTGGTATTCATGAAGAAGAATCGACCATGGATAATTAATAGGATCTACTCTCATACTACGACTACAATGTTGATGATGATGTTGAAACTTACCCTTCTCTTTCAGCATACTGCCTAACATCATTTATTAGAATCCTGTGCATTATAAGATACAGAATAATTTTTTTTAAAAAGCTTGAGAAACACAGACACAAATCAGGCCTCAGATTATCCATCCATAACAGAATATCATTATCACACATGCAGTGTCACACTGTATCCAAAGTCAACGGTGTTCAAACTTCAATGAATGTAAATTCTGCAATGAGGCATGCATGGTTATGATGGCAGACTCGCTCAGCTCTGTTGCTAGGCTATCCAACTTTAAGACTTCTTAGTTCTAAATTCCAGTTCTACATAATTATTAGGAAGTAGACTCTATGGCCGACGGCAACAATAACATATTATATTAATGTTATCAATGACATTTGTCATCAAGTTTTAAGTAGACCGAGGTCTAGATCGATCTAGGCCCTAGCTAGACCGAAAACTTCAGTCTCTCTAATCGTCGGTTGTTCCACTGAGACTACGTCTGGCTCCACTAGACCTCCGATTATGTATTGGGGAATGTCAACAAATGTCAGTTTTATTAAAGAAATGACCCAAATCAGATTGTTATTTCTGTCTAGGTCCTAGCAAGTTCTTCATCGTCATGCATCATCTGCCTCCTTCACTCCTGAAGATTTGTCCAATTTCAAAGAGTTTCCAATAAAATGAGGCAGATTTGAATTGTTATAAGTATTAGCATGGCATGCCATTAGTACTATATTAGTAACATAAATGATAAAACAATTTAAAAAATACCATCACCATCATGACCATGATCACTGTTATTAATGTAATGTACGCGTGGTAAACAGAATCCAGCCACCCTTCTACTAATCACGCAGCCAGAGCTCCGGGGAGACCAATGCCTCACGGTTCTGGTCGAGCAGCTGAGCTGCGCGCAGCATATTCTAATATTCGAAATTCCCGTACATTTACATGATTATGCTAGCTGTTAAACTGTCATTAAATCTCACCTCGCCCATCGTAGCAGAGTATTTAATTCAGGACCAGTTTCCCCAGTTGGTTCACAGCCATGTTCATCGAAATAAGATGCCATTCTTCAGAATGAATCCGAGTGGATTTGTAAGTTCTCGTCTAAATTGTCATATCATTGTTGTTGTTGTTGTGTTTTGAGTTTTGATTTATGTTATGGTGGCTTCAATTCAAGAAAAGAAAAATATGAAAAAAGAGAATGTAAATGAATTATTAGTCTGTTTCATTATAATTAGACTCAACAAATGATTATTCAGCAGAGACGGAGGAAGAGCATCTAAAACGATATGAATGAAATGAGAAACAGATCAATTAATTCATTAAAGATATCCAACAGTTCATTTGCAACCCATATATTGCACAATGATTTGGGTAGTAGATGTAACGGGATCAAAGATAAAGGTAAAATAAAAGAAACCTCAGAGCAAAAGTTCTATGATAAATGCTCCGGAGACGATGTAACAAAACCTCCCGCAAAACATACAAAGGAGCGAATGATCAGGAAGAGGAAGAACGGGAAGGGGTGTTTTCTTCCTCAAGTAGATTGCTCTTGGTATAACATCGGGGCTTAATAATGTGAAGTTAATTGTCACTGGACTGCTTGGAATGTTTATTTTCAGAAAAGGAATGAGGAGTAAACTTTGGTAACTTCTGCGATTTTACTTACTTCACTGAAGTAAACGAGACAACTCGAATGCAAACTTCTTTCAAGATCTCACAAGCATCCCCTCTGCATCGGCAAATTTAATTTCACCTTCCTCTTCCAAACACACCTGATTATGTCGGCTAAATTTATAAATTCAGCTCAGTCGTTCATTACTGATCTGCATTTACCACAGAGGGCTTGAAACTCCGACATACGATCATTAGTTTGGGCTTTAAAGTCCGTCAATATGGGCCAGAAGGGATTAGACAACACAGCGAGGTCACTGACAGGTGGCTATCTCATTAACTCAGCTCTCAACTGACATAAGAAAAGGAGGATCACGGGGGACCAACAGGCACTGATTTGGGAAGTTTTCTATATAGAGGAAGCAAGTAGCTACAAGTAGGACAGTGGGGCTTTAAAACGAGAAAAAGAATGAAATTGAAGGCAACTAGCCTATTATGAAAACATTATGTACATAATTTTAGTTCAATAACTGCTCCTGATTATTAAACAGACGGGAAGGAAACATTTGAAAGAACCATTGTCTACTGATGATTTGTAAAAAAAGATGATTTTTTTTTGTTTTAAGTATCTGGATGACTACACCTTTGTCTTATCAGCCCCGGCCTGGCAACTACCGCTTTTGACTACCCAAGTGCAAAAATCCCTCACTTTATTATCTTTTTACATCCTCTCACTCTTTTTTTTCTTTCTTCTCTCTTACAAATGATAGCACTTCCTTTCATTTCAACATTCTCTCCCTTTTTCACCTTCTCATATTCTCACAATCGTTATCTCAGTCTTCCTTTCAATATTCTATCACTCTACCATACATCTCTTTCACGACAAATTTCTTTCAGTTTAAATCAATATCTTCTCACATTCTCCCAATCTTTATCTCTTCCTTTCGGGTTCTCTCACTGAATTATACATCTCTTTTGTTAAAACTTCTCTCAATTCGTCTTTTCCACACGACCTTATGTGCTGTGCATCTCTCTTTTTCTTACTCACCCAAACACAATAGTCATTATAGTAATTGAAACTATATTAATACACGTCAAACAAACCGTGATTTATTTACTTATTTTAATGACTTTAATAAGAAAATGAATCATCCTGTAATATAGTGGAGACACCCATTGTATAAAGTTTGCCTATTTACATCAGCTTTACTTACTATAAATATTATTATTGGTTAGGAAAAAAATAGCAATAGCATAAATGATAATAATGACAAAAAAATAATAATATTAATAAATATGATTAACAACAATAATGATAAAAATTATAATACCCCCTCCAAATAATGATTAATACTAACAAGAATCGTAGTTATTAGTATTACTATTATTATCATAACAATTATAGTACTGATAATAATAATCTTAATCATAATTATTATTATCAGTATTATTATTATCATAACTTTAATAGTAATAAAAATAACAATAATTACAATAATAATATTACTAATAATACTACTACTACAACTGATAATAATAATAATAATTATAATTATAACAATACTGATAATAATAATAATAATTATAATTATAACAATACTGATAATATTAATTATATTGATAATTATGATGAATACAATTTTGTATTGTTTTGTAGTAGAAACTGTTGGGAAGTTCGCTCCAGTAAACACAAAGCCCAAAAAACAAACAGTTATTGTGAGCGAACTATGGGCTGTATAGAAATAATTTCATCCTTTCTATAGAGTAGGGGTTATATGTTTTTTTGTAAGATACTTTGTTTGCATTAATCTACACACGATTCACGACCAAGCAGCATTGTGTTAAAAGTGACATTTCAAAAAATTGTAAGCTTTAAATAGCGATTATCCAATATTTTCATTGGGTATTGATTTAGCGTTTTTCAAATAAGCAGTTCCCCCTCCCCCCCCCCCCCCAAACAAAAAAATAGGCGCCAATACCCATTTTTGCGATGAAAAGGGCGCACGTATTCTCAGATATTCATTGGCGTATCCAGGGGGATGTTTTGGGTGTTCAAACACCCCCTGGGAAACAGGGGGTGCTTTAGATGTTCAAACACCCCTACACCCTTTATCTGTGTTTTATCTATGACCTCTCCCCTAACCCCCCCCCCCCCCCCAAAAAAAAAAAAAAAAAAAAAAAAGTTAAACATGTTTTGTTTTTCCTCATCATACTAACTATTTTAAAGCCTTAACACAATTCAAAAACAGTTTCCATTGTCACTGAACAAAGAAGACTTAACATTGCTATAGGCAAGACTTGATCCATCTAGCCACCTTGCCTCACTGAGACTTGGACCGGTCAACCCGATCCAGTAGTCCTCAGTGGCACTCCTTTTCTTCTTGCGGCTCGATGAAGACCAGATGGAATTGGGAACAAGCTAAAATCGCATAAACTTGATTCATCTTGCAAGTGCTGGATTTGTAGAACGACCTGCTGTATGCATATTCCACCAGAGAACATGCTAAAAGATGAAAACAATATGTAAATGACTAAACTTTAAGAAAGTCGACAAAGAGATTATTTGGGTAGCCGAGAAACTGAAATATTGAAAGAAAAAAAGATATTGATGACGATGATAACGCAAAAGAAAAATAATAATGAAAAATAATGATACTAAAAATAGATGCAAAGACATAATATTTTTATTATATTATAAAGCTTTGATAATTAATGTCTAAAGAAACTCTGCTCACCATCGCAATTTTTTTACAGTCATTTTTATCTATATGAATGAAAGAGAGGGAGGGGGAGGAGGCGGGAGGGAGGGAGAGAGGGTGTCAAGGGAGTCAGGAGAGTGGTAGTGGATAGACCTAATATAATGAACATCAAATGCATGACGTTATTGCATTGTTTCTCTTAGTCAGAATCAGATAAAGATTGAGAGAGTGATGAAGAGAGAGAGAGAGAAAGGGATGGATGGGGGGGGGGGGTGAAGGAGGAGGGGAGAGAGATGAAGAGAGAGAGAGAGAGAGAGAGAGAGAGAGAGAGGGATGGATTGGGGGAGAGAGAGAGAGGGAGAAAGAGACAGAGGGGGAAGTGGCTAGACACATTATAATTATGATCAAAGCCATGCCATCATTTCCTTGTTTCTCTAACTTACTGAAGGTGGTGGTTTCTTGCCATGTCATTGTGTCTGACATGGTGATCGTAGAACTTGTCGTGGGATTGGACGTCATAATATGTGTAATGGTAATGTAATACATAAACTGTGATTTAAATATTGCACTCGTACCATTTTCTATTATTGTGGGATCACGTCTTTCATTTTTTAAATTCATGTCATTTGTTTCTAAGACCTAATTTCTCTAATTCTCTTGACCCCTCTCCCTTCATATTTGTTTTCTAAGACCTCCCCCCCCCCTCATCTCTCTTCATATTTGTTTTCTAAGACCCATTTCTCCCCCGCCCCCCCCCATCTCTATTCATATTTGTTTTCTAAGACCTCTCTCTCTCGACCCACTCTCTCTCGTATGTATTTCTCAGACCCCTCTTTCTTTCTCTCTCTCTCATTAACCCCCTCTTCATATTTGTTTCTAAGGCCTCTCTCTCTCTCTTCATATTTGTTTCTAAGACCCCCCCCCCCTCTCTTTCTCATTTCTTGATATTTGTTTCTAAGACCTCTCTCTCTCTAGCTCTCAATTCATGATATTTGTTTCTAAGACCCCCTCTCTTTCTCACTTCTTGAATTCATATTTGTTTCTAAGACCTCCGTCTCTCTCTCCCTTTCTCTGTGCATGTACGATTCGATTTGGAACTGGCGCGCCCGATCGAGGAGCGTAGACTAGACTCATTCAAGCAGTTTCATTGCTATTTACCGGGAAAATGTCCAGGCCAGGGTGTAAAACGCAAAGTCGCGGCCGGGCGAGCCGGGCGAGCCGGGCTCGAACATGGCTATGTATTATAATAAAGCTTGCGCTTGTTTTTTGGGGTTTTTTTTTCATAGGTTTTTATTCATTTCTCTCAAAGAAAAATTGTACATTTATAACATTGGATACAAAATAACAAAATAATTTAACATAGGTCTTTATAAATTTACCAATGATCTTTTACATTTACACACAAAAGTTACACCTCTTCATTTTCCTTTGGAGACAAAAAAATTATATAGATCTAGACCTATATATAAAAAAAGAGAAAAAGCTACAAAACACCTACTACCCCCCCCCCCCACCCCCACACAACATTTAAACACATAACATGTACAACAGTATACAAAACACACACTAACATAGAACAAACAAACAAACAAAAGTAGAGGGGGAAAAAAAAAAAAAAAAAAAGAGAGAAGAGAGGAGGGTCGGTCATGCAGGAAGTTGTATATAATTATATTGAGAAAAAAAAACTGAAAACATTTATTCTAAACTTTCCAAAGCTTCCCATTTCCCTAAATGAATTGAAAGTGTGTCTCTTTCCATTGAAAGTTTTTTCTCTTCATTTCTATTTTCCAACAATCTATATTCTATTTCTTTTGCTTTTGGAGGGTAGGTAAACAAACAAAGTTCGTCCAAAATCACCCCTC